TCTTCCCGGTACTCCACTATGCAAATTAGGTGGATCCTACCACAACATGTATACACATTTCCGTCCGGGTCCCAACCAGAGACTTAAGATTAGAAATGGCACCATGGCATTTTCCACTCATCATTCTGGTAAAAACAAGCAAACAAAAGACAGAAAAAAAAACCATAAGATCACTCAAATTTTACTTTTTTCTTTCTATTGTGTAAGCTGTACTTGTGAGTTTTATTTATACGCACTTTGGGACGTTTCGTTTACATGGTGAGGCTTTTGCGGATATGTGCAATTCCATACAAAGGAATCTTTTGTAGCTGTTCGTGGTTTTCTGTTACTCTTTCAGGGTGTTGCTTATACCATTTTTTGGCGTGTGACGCATCAATTATTATTGTTATTATTTTGATTTTGATTTCTTTTGATTTCTGGTGTATACACATTTCTTTCCGGGTCCCAGCTTAAGAGCTAAAATCAGTGCCTTTTTTGAGAAAATAAAAATTAATACACATTTGACATAGATAAAATATTTCGTGAGGTGCAAGCTGGATTTGTGAGTACTATTCTTTGTATATCTTTCAGGCATGTACTACCAGAAATCCCTTCATTGAGTCTATCAGAATTTTTTTCAATCAACCCGAGGGCTCCAACTACAGTTGGAAATATTGATGTCTTCGTGTACCACATTTTTGAGATTTTATGGTCCTTGTATTTTGAAGATCTTCAAAGATACATTACAATCTGCAGGATCTGCTATGTCAATAAGAATACATATTCCGATTTTATGATCCTTGATCACGATGTCTGGGCTATTAACCTTGATTGTTCATTTGTAAAGTTCCATAAAATTGTTACAAGGGTCTTTGTAACAGGGTCTGGGTGGTGTTCATAACAGCTACTTGCAATTTCTTTTCCTGAAAAGCTGCAGATTTTCCAATGCAGATATTGACCCTCTCTGTCATGCCGGTTTTTATATTTAGTAGTGGCCAATACACTATTATTATTATTATTATTATTTATGTATGTTATGTTTCCTGCTTTGTATCTTGTAGAGCGGGGTCCAAACTATGCTCCTTAGGGCCTATAGGAGAATTCTCATTTAATTGATAGCACTTGGTGTTCCTAGAATGACGATCTTCTGGGCAACATGTATGTTGATGTAACCTGGGATACTGTTAGTAAAATTGTCCATTCCTTTTCTCACAAAGCTCACAGTTCCGATCACTATTGGTAGAGTCTCAGTCTTTATTCCCCACATCCTGTTAATCTCGATCTCCAGATCCTCGTATTTGGATAATTTCTCGATAATGTGCATGGAGGTGTTTCTCTCAAATGGCACTACTTTGTCAATAAACATACACTTCCTAATTTTTTTGTCTTTTATGATAATATCAAGTCTGTTGATTTTTATTTCCTTGTCAGTTTGAACTGACACATCACAGAGTATATTGACATCGTTATTTTGGGTAAGTGTGTCTGTTTGGTTCACATACCATTTCTCAGTGGATTTTATTTGGTGCTTCCTACATATCTTCCAGTACAAATATGTCAATACCTTTTTATGTCTGAGGGTATATACATTTTTTTCAGGTTAGTTCCATCCTTGATTATGTAACAGTGATAGGATCTGCGAGGCTTGGCCTTCTGTCTCAGCTTTCAGCCCGGTGCTCCTCAGCCCGGTGCTTCTCAGTCCGGTGCTTCTCAGCCCGGTGCTCCTCAGCCCGGTGCTTCTCAGCCACTGATATGTTTTCTTTTGATCCACTTCTGCTTCTCTCGTCCTTTTAAAGTATTCATTATGCAACGCCTTGTCATCCCAGTTTTTTTCTGTAATTTCAGTTGGCCAAATTGTTTTGCTTTCTGTTTTACTCGTTTGGCGTAAATGGCATTAGCTTCGTGTTTTTTATTAGTAGTGTTAAGCTACATTAAGCTGTTTCTTAAAGAGTGAGGCTTCTTTATTGGTGGAGTGGATTTGGTGTTTTACTATTTGTAGGAGAGGGTCATTGGTTTTTGTGAGGTATGCTTTCAATCCGACTGTTGTAGTTTTCAGGGTTAGTTCAAGTTGGATTAGACCTCGGCCTCATAAAGCTCTTGGTACGTACAACCTATCAACATCTGATTTCGGGTGGTGCATTCTCATCTGGGTAAGCATTTTTCTGGTCTTGGCGTCCAATCTTTTAATGTTATTCAACTTCCATTTAATAATTTTGAAGCCGTATGTTACTACGGCTATAGCTAAGGTGTTAATAGTCTTCATTTTATTGGCCCAATTAAGTTCGCTTTCTAGTATCAGATGCACTCTCCTATAATATTCTTTTCGGATCTTTTTCTTCATAATTGAATATTGTATTCCGTCTCCTTCATTAATTTCTAAGTATTTGTATATACCGTCTTGGTCTGGTTTATTAATCTTGTTGTTGATATCAATGTCTAAATCTGTAGCTTTCGATAGATTTTCGTTATTTTTTTGTTTTTTTGTTTGTAAAAAAATAAAAGTAGATCAACCTATGATAACACCCATTTTACATACTCTAAACACAAATGGAATTATTGATGTCTTCATGTGCCATAGATTTGAATATATTTGTATTTTGATAGTGATTTTTGAAAGATCTTGAATGATCCAATCTGCAGGAACTGCCATGTCAATAAGAAAAGCACATACAATTTTTAGGCGTTTAGCGTTGATCGTTCTGTTTGCGTGCATTGTAAATTCCCATAACAGTGTTTGTGTTCCTATGTTTGTAACCTAATGGGTTGTATTCATACCAATTTCTTGTAGTTTCCTATATGTAAATTTTACAGATTTTCCAGTTTAGATATTGACCCATTATATCATGCTGAGTTTTATATTCGATAGATGCTAATACCGTGCAATCTGGTCGAAGATGGTCAATAGATTCTGGATATTACACTAGAATCTGCATTTCGGGTTAACACGTTCTCCAGTATATTTTCTTGATAATTTCTGTTTAGCAAGCATTGGTCATGTGCACCAAGAATAAAAACTTCAGTTTCAGCTTTTAATCCTGCACTATGCAACCACTGATTGATATAGAATCAGTCTATATCAGCTTCTGTAGCACAGGCAGATTATTGACTATGAAGATATTTGTCTTGCTATCATTTCTGCATTTGACTCAATACATTTTCGTTTTTAGGACATTTTTCCACTACAGTAAAGCTTTATGATAATCTATCCAAGATGTACTGAGATTTCTACATTCTTCTTCTTTATGATTATTATTATTTTTATTTTCTTTGATTTCTGGCGTTTACACATTTCTTTCCGGGTCCCACCCAGGGACCTAAGGTTAGAAATGGCGTCATGACACTTTCCACTAAAAAAAAAAAAAAAAAAAATTAAATTACATAGATAAAGACCTTCGTAAGGTGTGGGCTGTACTTGTCAGAACAATTTTTTGTATCTCCTTGAGGCATGGACTTCTAGGAATCCCTTCAATTAGTCTACCGCAATCTTTTCCAAACAGTCCTAGGGCTCCAACTACAACAGGGATTGTTGATGTTCCCATATGCCACATTTTCGAGATTTCTATTTCAAGGTTATTATTATTATTATTATTTTCGAAGAAGCTTTTGGTACAGTTTATTTGAACATATATTTGAGGGTTCGCAGCTTTCTGGACTGTTGCCTTTATGAAATTAGCCAACATCTTCACCTCGTACGTATATATGTACGTCTTTGTATATCCTCTAGGGACTTATGTATCACGTTTGTTCTTTTCATTAGAGGTGATTTTGAATTTGCAATTCTTCGTCGGCGTCTACCAGAGACTTGCTTGTCGATACAATCCGGTTGGATGTTGAATGTGGTCGGTGGAATTGGAACTAGTGTTGGGATGGTTGTAGAGGAGAGGACAAACCACCGCAGGCAAACCAGGAACCGAAATGAAAGAATAAATGAAGGGCTGAGGTGAATAAATAAGAAGAAAATAAATACGAAAAAATTGCCAGAGAAATTTGTGGACGAATTCAAAGAGGGCCCCCTAAATTCAGTAAAGATTGTAAACATGCTGAAAAAAAAACGATAGGAAAAGAATAAATAACGCAAAGTGTAAAATAAAAGAAATTCAAGAGAAAAAAAAAGGACATTAAAAGGAGACGATAGAGAAACAAGAGGTTAATGTGAATAAAGAAATATGAACGACGGAGAAACGAAGAGGTGTGGAAAATAACATTTAGGATCTGAATTATGAAGTAGGGAATAGAATGAGAATTCTTCGTACCTATACAGCAGTGTGAATAAAAAGACAGAAGAAAGAAAGAAAGAAGCGGGTATTTTGAAGGTTTTGAGAAAGAAAGAAAGAAAGAAAGAAAGAAAGAAAGTGGAGAAATTAAAGGTTTTGAGAAAGAAAGAAAGAAAGAAAGAAAGAAAGTGGAGAAATTAAAGGTTTTGAGAAAGAAAGAAAGAAAGAAAGAAAGAAAGTGGAGAAATTAAAGGTTTTGAGAAAGAAAGAAAGAAAGAAAGAAAAAAGTGAGAAATTAAAGGTTTTTGAGAAAGAAAGAAAGAAAGAAAGAAAAGAAAGAAAGAAAGAAAGAAAGAAAGTGGAGAAATTAAAGGTTTTGAGAAAGAAAGAAAGAAAGAAAGAAAGAAAGTGGAGAAATTAAAGGTTTTGAGAAAGAAAGAAAGAAAGAAAGAAAGAAAGAAAGAAAGTGGAGAAATTAAAGGTTTTGAGAAAGAAAGAAAGAAAGAAAGAAAGAAAGTGGAGAAATTAAAGGTTTTGAGAAAGAAAGAAAGAAAGAAAGAAAAAGAAAGAAAGAAAGTGGAGAAATTAAAGGTTTTGAGAAAAGAAAGAAAGAAAGAAAGAAAGAAAGTGGAGAAATTAAAGGTTTTGAGAAAGAAAGAAAGAAAGAAAGAAAGAAAAAGAAAGAAAGTGGGAGAAATTAAAGGTTTTGAGAAAGAAAGAAAGAAAAGAAAGAAAGAAAGAAAAAAGGAGAAATTAAAGGTTTTGAGAAAGAAAGAAAGAAAGAAAGAAAGAAAGAAAGTGGAGAAATTAAAGGTTTTGAGAAAGAAAGAAAGAAAGAAAGAAAGAAAGAAAGAAAGAAAGTGGAGAAATTAAAGGTTTTGAGAAAGAAAGAAAGAAAGAAAGAAAGAAAGAAAGAAAGAAAGAAAGTGGAGAAATTAAAGGTTTTGAGAAAGAAAGAAAGAAAGAAAAGAAAAGAAAGAAAGTGGAGAAATTAAAGGTTTTGAAAGAAAGAAAGAAAAAGAAAGAAAGAAAGAAAGTGGAGAAATTAAAGGTTTTGAGAAAAGAAAGAAAGAAAGAAAGAAAGAAAGAAAGAAAGAAAGTGGAGAAATTAAAGGTTTTAAGAAAGAAAGAAAGAAAGAAAGAAAGTGGAGAAATTAAAGGTTTTGAGAAAGAAAGAAAGAAAGAAAGAAAGAAAGAAAGAAAGAAAGTGGAGAAATTAAAGGTTTTGAGAAAGAAAGAAAGAAAGAAAGAAAGAAAGAAAGTGGAGAAATTAAAGGTTTTGAGAAAGAAAGAAAGAAAGAAAGAAAGAAAGAAAGTGGAGAAATTAAAGGTTTTGAGAAAGAAAGAAAGAAAGAAAGAATGATAGAAATAAAATAGAAAATAAGAATGAAGGAATGCAAATAAACAAGAAAGACAGAAAGAAGGAACGAAAGAAAGAAAGAAAGAAAGAAAGAAAGAAAGAAAGAAAGAAATAATACAAATAACCAAGAGAATAAGAAGGAAAAAAAGAAAGAAAGAATCCAAAGGAGAAATTGATATGTTTGAAGAAAGAACGACACAAACAAGAGAATTAAAAGAAAGGAAAATAGAAATTAAAAGAAAATGCAAAGAATACAAATGAAAAATAGAAAACTGAAAGAAACAGAAGAGAATTGGAAAAAAGAAGGATGAAAATGAAAGAATAAGTAAAGCGAAAGAGAGAGAGATAGAGAGAGAGAGAGAGAGAGAGAGAGAGTAGAAATAGAAATAACGTAGTAAAAAAGATAAAAGTAAAAGAAGAACAGAAAAAGAAAGGAAAAATAAAACAAAAAGAAATGTAGAATGACAAAAGCAAAATATGAAAAAACGAAAGAAAAAAGGAAGCAATAAGAAAACGAAAAAGGAAGAAGAAAAGTAAATGAGAACAAAAAGGCAAGAATAATGGAAAAAGAGAAGAAAGAAAAAAGAAAGAAAAGAAAGGTAGAAAAATGTAGAATAAGGAAGTATACCATAGAAAGAGGAGGAAATAAAAGAATGAAAGACGAAAAAAAAAAATTAAAAAAATGAAAAACAAAAAAGAATAAGAAAAGAAAATAGTTAAAGAAAAAGAAAAATGAAAATGAAACAAATTAAGTGAAATAAAATAAAGAGAAAGCGAATGAAAACGAATAAATAAGGACAGAAAAAAGAAATAAAAGAAGGACAAATTGGTAGAAAGAAGACAAAGGAAAAAAGGAAGGGTTTGAAGAAAAGAAAAAGAAGGAAAGAAAAAACGATAGAAAAAAAAAGAAAGAAAAGAAGAAAGAAGCAGAGAGCGAAAATGCAAGAATGAAATATGCGCGTGTGTGTGAGAGAGCGAAACACAGAAATAGTGAAAGAGAGAGAGACAGAGAGACAGAGAGAGGTGGGTAGAAAATGAGAGAGAAAGTGTGTAAATAAAATAGTCAGAAATGAAATGAAATAACCGTTGGTTAGAATAAATAACAATTGGAAAAGAAACAAAAAGGAATAAATGATGATTGAAAAAGAAAAACGAAAGGAATCCGAATAAAAAAAGCGAAAGGAAAATAGTTTCAGATAAAACTCAAAAAGAAAAAGAAAAACGAAAAAAGAATATGAACAAGAATAAAACGAAAGAAAAAAAATGAAAAAAGAAATTATATTAATGAAAGAAACAAAAAAGAATAAAAAGGAAATTTTTAAAAAGATAAATAAAAAGGAAAGAAATAACACAGAAAGAAAGAGACAGAACAAAATAAAAAAATATATTGGCTAAGCTCAGCTTAGTTTGACACAAGGCCATAACTATGGAGCAGCTAGGAAATGATGAAATTTCATACTACAGTAATGTGCAACGTGATTTAACAATTCACTACTTCGTCTATTGACAGAAATGAGTCCAAAAATAAAATAAAATAAAATAAATTAGCGGACAAAATATTGAAGAGTGATACGGAGAAAGGTGTGATAGAAAAAAAGTCAAACAATTCATCATGAGAGAAAAAATAAAAAAAAAAAAAACAGAGAGAGAGGAGGGAGAGAGAGAGAGAGAGAGAGAGAGAGAGAGAGAGAGAGAGAGAGAATGAAGTGGAAAAATCAACATGTTTACTTTAAGTCAATATGGACTACGCCCAGGTTGGCACAAGGCGAAATGGTTGAGTGGACAGTATAGTGCTGCTTGCCTTGAAAATTCAGCAGTGGAAATACCGGCACTTTATCTGGGCTCGAAAACCGATTTTAGACACTGACTGGAAATCCGCCCCAAAAATGAGATCTTTTCTATTTGATCTCCTGTGGGATAACATGCGAGCAAAACCGGATGCGCTCG